TCACCTGTCAGCCCCACTCACTCCATACCTGCAGCTCAACTCTACCTTCTGCTCACCTGTCAGCCCCACTCACTCCATACCTGCAGCTCAACTCTATCTACTGCTCACCTGTCAGCCCCACTCACTCCATACCTGCAGCTCAACTCTATCTACTGCTCACCTGTCAGCCCCACTCACTCCATACCTGCAGCTCAACTCTATCTACTGCTCACCTGTCAGCCCCACTCACTCCATACCTGCAGCTCAACTCTATCTACTGCTCACCTGTCAGCCCCACTCACTCCATACCTGCAGCTCAACTCTATCTACTGCTCACCTGTCAAGTCCCACTTACCCATTGCCTCCTCACCTGCTCCTCAGCCACAGTCATTCTTTAACTAAAGCACAAGCCCACTCACTCCATACCTGCTGCTTATCTCCACTCACTTTACCTGCAGCCGGGCTGCACTCACTGCTTACCGAATACTATGATCACTCTTTACCTGTAGCTCAGCCCCACTCCCTCCATACCTGTTCCCCATGCCCGCTCCCTCCCTCCTTACCTGCAGCTCAGTGCTGACTCCCCGCCGCCCGCACAGACTTGTTGCAGGTCCCGCCCACATGCGGCGTGCTGATTGGCTGTGGGGGCTGCCGGTCTGCACTCCCGGGAGAGGTGGAGCAGGGCTCACACTTGGCTTTGCGGAGACAGTAAGGTGCAAGGTTTGTGCTCCCACCAGACCCCCAGCGCCCGCCGCTCACCGGGGCCATGTGACCCCCTCCAGCCAGCTGTCACACATCCCCCACAATCTCACCGGGTGGGAGCCCATGAGTGCACACTCCGCTCTCACTGGCATTGCCCGAGTGTGCTCGGCGGCTAGCGGACAGTGAGCTCACCATGGAGGACAAACTTTCCCAGGACATGGACCCAGGTACCTTCTCCGCTTCATCATCCTCATCACCTTCCTCCTCGGGCTCAGAGACCCTGTCTGAGGGGGACCCCAAAACCTCTACCGAGGGGAGCTGTACTGACTGTGACTCTGAGGGTCCCCACTCCCCCCAGCAAGGGGGAGCAGAGAGGAGAGCTGCAGGGGGGCAGGACAGAGGGGAACAGGAGGAAGAGGACGACGAGGAGGTGAGCCTAAAGCTGATATAGTGAAATGTCCTGATTTCTGCTCCTATTTAATGCAGCATGTGTGTGCCTGTATAGACTGCAGTGGGTCTGATATTCCTGGGAGGGAAACCCATCTCTCACTGATTGCCTTGCATGCAGTATCCCTGGTACTGGCTGTGCATAGCCTGACAAGACTCTCTGTGAGCATCTATAATGCATGAGTAGTTACATTTTAACTCTGGGAATGATGGAACATGTTACCGTGCTCACACAGTTAATGATTACCATCTATTTTTCATTATATACTGTAATCCTCACAACATGTAGCTTTTTTTTTTTTTTTCATACACATTTTTGCAAGTCTTTTGGGACAGTGTATGGTAATTAGTTGTACTTCTCTTTGATTGCTAGGGTAACCATCATCCACAAAGGCTGAGCATCATAAAGTTATGTAGTCCTTATTAGCTGGAGTTCCATCGCTATTGGATAATAACATCCATGTCTTGAGTATCCTCTGCGGACGTCAGAATGCTTAATACCTTCTGTTACAAGTTTAGTTTTTGTCAATCGCTCTGATTAATGATATTGGCTAACAAACGACAAGGTTGATTTATATTTTAGTGAGAAATAACTGTAATCCTAGCTTGCTAAATTAAAGCTGTAACAGATGGTC